AAATAGTTATATTAATCAAAATCTTTTATCTATCATATGCCTTTTGCTATCTGTAACCATTACCCACTATTTATTAGATTTTAACTATTACATCAAACAAACCTCAATCATGTTAATAATTGATTAATTAAATAAAGCATACTTGATTATGATATTAAGAGGTAGATTATATTTAGGTTTTTTGATAAAATAAATTTTTTCCTTATATTGTCTACCTTATACCCTATATAAAGGCTGTCACATGTAACCCTTCGACACATCTCTCAACAATAATAAAATGTTTTTCTTTTAATTTTCTCTTCTTCGTTTTCCACACTTTAAACCTTAACAGTGGTGCCAGAGCTTTGCATCTCCAATGAGGCATAAGTTTCCGGGTTCCCGTTGTTGCTTCCGCAATTCTTCTTATTATTTTAGGGTTTGTCTAACCTTCAAGTTAAAATTTATTAATTAAGGTATTTTTAATTAGTTTTACATCAATTTTTATATTAAATTCAAACATTTTTACAAATTTGAGTATAAATATTATATTATATTATATTTTTACATTTTATATTCTATTTTATTTGAATATTAAATAAAAATTTATGTAAAATTAATTATAAATATTATAATTAATAAGATTTAACCTTTCTCATATTAAAAAATCCCATTGATTCTTTCACTTCCAATATTCTTGATTCACCCCATTGATTCCAACCCTTCTATATTCAAACTCTTATCTCCAGAGAACACCCTATCGTAGATTGCACCGTCACTAGCCATGCTACACCAACAATTGTATCCCAAGCCAGCCACACCTTACAACACCTTTCCTCAGTCTCTCTCAAGTTCCCAACTCCTAGTTTGTAGTTACTATCTAATACTTCTTGTTGTAACTTGATTTTTATTCGATTTATTTTTAAAAATATCAAATTTTTTATAATTTTTATTTCTCATAAAATTTTTAGTTTTAAGGTGACGTGAGAAATTAATGCGAAAGATTTGTAAAAGAAAAATCCATATTAAATTAAATTAATGTCATTTTGTACTGCATGAAAAACATTTAAAATCTGTGTTTTGTTTTGCAGGGACTTAATCGTGATAAGGACTAAAATTAGGGACGAAAGTGTCAGGAAGATAAAACTTATGAACTAAAGCACAAAAAAACCCTAAACGAAGTCGTTTTGGTGTATGGGCGAAAAACAAATATTCTCACTTGCAGAGGATGGGCGGCAAGAGCAGAGGCCAGAGGGGATTACTCCCCCTTCCTCCCTCATCCATCACTTCTCCTTTCCATCCCATGTGAGAAAAACTCGTCTCCTACTTCCACCGCCCTTTTCCTCCTATCAGATTGCAAGGTTTGGAGACACATCAGCTGTCCATTTCCTCCATCTCACGCGCTTGGATCAACTTGCAGGCCGCAGGGAATCTAGGGGGTGTAGGTACGCGGCAGATCTAGGGTGAGGAACAGTTGAGATTGAGAGAAGGTAATAGGATGGCTGGGGCTCTCTTTCAAGCTCCTCGAATTTTGCCTATAAAAGAAGGTTTTCGGGGAGCAGAAGGGGGGAACGAAGAGGAGAAGAAGAAGACAAACGAAGAAAAAAAAAACAGAGCGTGGAAAAATGATTTAGTAAGTTCAGGGAGTACTTGAATTTTCGGTTTGAGGAATCGAAGGCAGAAGGGAAGTTCGAATTCTGTTTCGGGATCTGAACGTTATTGCCGACTATAGGGATTTTTAGCTTCAGTTCATTTTATGTAAATCACATACTGATATTGGATTAGAAATCGAGTTTGTTGTTAAATTGATTGTAATTTTATTTTGAAATTGTGATTGGTGGTTGTTGCTGATTGAGTATTCTTTTTTTAAAGGACATAGAATAAGTTTTTTTTTTTGAGGAAAGGACATAGAATAAGTTTACTTAAAGAGTAAGGGTAAAATGTTGTATTTATTATATTTTTT